GCAAGAAGACACACACACACATAAAACTTTAGATAGCACGACTGACGTGTGCTAAACTAACCGACTCTCGCAAGTGGGAGGAATTATTTTTGTAATGTTATTGAAAAAATTTGGAAAAATAAAAAATACAAAATTTGTATAACATATTTGAGGGGGTTATGAACCTCTGATAAGGACGTGGGGGGAGCAATCTTATCCCGAGAAACAGTCGGAGTAATTTCAAATGGCGGAAGGTAGACAGCGAAAACAGAGCATTTAATTACATTTTCTCTTACTGGACCTCTTTGAAATGCAATTGAACAACTGCATTATAGCAACAATAATAATAATAATAATAATAATAATAATAACAACAGCAATAATAATTGGGAGGGGGGGCGCGGCTGTTCTTATGTTCTCTGAGGGGAGGCTCACCTACCCACACTTTGAAAACCCCTGACCTAGACAACTGCTGATGAACATTGAATACGCTCAAAAGATAGCGTATGTACATTTAGAGGCAGAGTTTGCGATAAAAAAGAAAAACGTGTCGAAATAATACGGTGAATCAAAAGAATCCCTCATCATATACGGAGAGTTCATTGGCAAAAATGTATAAAAGCCAATCTTACAATGAAGAAAAAAAGACCTGTTTGAGACTCCAGAATGCTAAAATAAAACATCATTTGGAGAAATAAATAAATACGGATGTGTGATTGCAAACATCCCCTTGAATATGTTCTCCAATTATTACAGGTTATAACGCTAGCATTTTATGAAATGTATTTTCTTAAAGGGGACCTATCGTGCAAAATGCACCTTTTACGTCTTTTATACATGAATATGTGTCCCCGGTGTGTCAGGGAACTCACCAAGTGTCAGAAAACACAACCCTCTCTCTTTTCCTCCATACCCAAATCTCTAAAAACGGGGCTGCAACGGATCTGATACAGACTGATACAGATTTGAAAATAGTCTGAAGTCAGTGACGAGGAGCTCCGCCTATATGACCAACTCTCCACCTATCAAGGGAATGAGAGGTTGCCGTGGCATGGTAACAGCATGGTAACAGCATGGTAACATGACGCTCGTAAGTCGGCCCCGTCCTTTGCAGGAGGGCGTGGTCAGCTGCAGCGCATGCAAAGACAGGGTGGAGGAGAGCAACATAGAGCGAAATGAGGCATGGCTAAAATGCATGATCTGTTTGGTAGTTTGAAAAAGAAAATGTATAAATATACCTTATATAGATAGGTATGGCCCTACAATATATTATTCAAATATAGCATGATAGGTCTCCTTTAAAGGACAGAAGTACTTTTAACTGACTTGGTTTCTAAGCCTGTAGGATCTGCAGAATGAGTGCATGGGTTATATATCAAATAAGGCTATCAAAGATGACAGCTGGCACACGAACCACAAAATGGATAGAAATAGTTTCTGTAAATAAAGTCCCAACTGTTTTGTACATACATGTGCAACCCATCTTGAATGAATTTGGTTACTATTATTTCTTACATCTGAGGTTTCCTGTGCGTGTTGCACAGCTGTAGTTTCTAAACGAGGCCCTGGATGTGTTTGAGGAGATGTTGATGGAGGGTGTGGACATGTTGAACAGTTTACCTCAGAGTCAGAGTGTAGTCTCCGTGCATCTTAGTGGAGGCGTCTCGCACCAGGAATGTACCGTCAGCTGTGTCTCTCAGCTTCTCATTCACCTCCTCTCTAAAAAAAACACAAAGAAAACACACGTTAAAACAATACACACTGTGCAAAGTCTGATACAACACTCTCTGCTTTCATTGGACCAGGTGAAACTGCACTAGAGAAAAACTCAAAACAGGCCTTGCATTGAAATCGGTACCACAGTAAAAGTACGTTGGTATCACCAGTCAAATGTAGTTCAAGTATAAAAATGTCTCTTTTACAGTGGCCGACAGGTGCAAGCGCGTTACAACAGCCCAAACATATCCAGAGAAAAGCACTGCAGTTTAAAAAATGAAGCAAATAAAAAATACATTCAAATAAAGAAACGTCTTCACCAACTGACCAACCGACGAGAAAGGCGCAGTGTCTATTAAAAGTGCTGCATAAACGAAACACTGCAAGAAGCTCAAACTCAACAACAACAGGGACAATAAAAGGTGGAGGACACAGCTGGGACCGGGAAGCTTGTGACGCGCTGGGATTAAAACGTTGGCCCACTGTCACTGCAAACATACCTAAATTGTATTGGTTTATTTTAAAGGTTGATAGTCATATGTTACATGTACACAACTACGGTGCAATATGCAATGAATGAAAAACTTGAGTCACAGGTTCCTCAACATGTTGCATCACATGATTATTTCCGATATTGTTGCCACTCGTTTTGTCAAGTTTGTGAAGATGTTTTTTCATTTGAATGATTTTTTTAAAATGCAGCACGTTTCTCCTAATGGAAATGTTTTGGGCCTTTGTAACATGTTTGCACCTGTCGGCCATTATACTCACTAGTACAGTTATATTTTTAAATACTATTTATATTTTATATTTATAACATGATTTGACTGTTGTAGTTGGTTAGGGTGAAGCTCATTTTGAACTATTAACTGATGATTATTTTCATTACAGATTCAAATGGATTTCTCAATTGACAAAATGATAAGGGAGTAAAAACAGAGACAATTAAATATTGTAATATGACCTTTTTTTTTTTTATCTTCAAAAATGATTTTAGTCCAGAGAATTTATTAGAATTCTGTCAAATGACGTACTGATTAATCAACTAATCATTTCAGCTGTACTTGTATAAACTGTTGGGGAAGTTGAAAACAGCATGAAATGATACACAGTATTATTAAGTGTGTGTGTGTGTGTAAGTCTGAGTGTGTGTGTTACCTGGATATGTCCCCCCAGTACCACTCGGCATCCTGCAGGGAGATACTGTTGTTGAAACTACAGGCAGCAGCTGGAGGCGCCGGCTTGGCCGGTTTGGGAGGCAACGCTGCGACAGAGACAGAGAAATCAATGATCATATCAACTTTTTTACAAACAGCATATGTCAATGAAAGATCACTTAAACAGAGCCTTTCATTTTCATCTCATTCATTCTGGAAGCGTTTTGAATGTTTCAAAAGTAGAGCAAGTGGAGTGACTGATACACCATGCAGGCCAATATTAGCTTGTTGCTAAAGAAGCATTATTATTTTTGAACCAATACTATTCCACCTAGTCCCGCCTTAGCGTGCTGTGATCGGCTGGTACTTATCTCTGTTGATTAGATGAAGCCCTCCTAACATGTGCCATTTTGTTTAGTGGAATAGCTATGCTTGACATGATCTACATTGGAGCTGAAGAGCAATTTAAATTGTTTGTGAAAATTGAGAATATTATTGTGGTATTGCTATGAGTTATTGGAAGTAAAGATAGAAGGTAAAGTAACAATACATATGGGTTGTATAGGTTGAGTCTATCAGTATAATCAGGCTAATCGAAGCAAGTCATATATTCAGCACAAGATAATATTTCCAGCTTCTATATTAGGTCAACATTTGAAGCAACTTTAATTAACAGTATATAACAAAACTACTGGAACACATGCAGTCACAGCTGGTTAAATGTTCAATACATTGTGCAGAATGTAGATTATGTGCAATAATTGAAATGTTTATTTTCAGTCCATCCAATATATACTGTTTCTTTTCCCTTTGACATATTGCTTTATTTATCGCCTGCCATTTGTTGCTGGACCCTGCCGCTGGACAAATAATTGTCTAAAAAAAACAATTGGATTGTGTTAATGTTTATTGGTCTACGTTTATGTGTTTCAGTGAAAAGAAAACTGACTTGATATGTTAATAAACTTTTTTTGTCCACTTGGAGGCAGGAGAAACAACATTTGAATTGAACTTATCAGTTGCCTATTTCCACATCAAGCAGTAACAGATGTAACGCAACGGTTCAAAGAGAAACGTTGTGTTTGTTTCCACTTGATGATTGAATGCAAGTCCAGTTTTCTTTGTCTTGTGGATCTGTTTTTGGTCTCTACCAACTCCTGGGGACAAATATCTATCTCTGCTGAATGCTCCACTATCTTCACTAGCTAGTCCAAGCAAAAGCCAAAAGAATTGGCTAGCTGCAGACTCAGCTTCACATTTACTACCAGAGATAGTGGGCTACAACCCGTGAGCCCCATGCAGGACACGATATAGGAACACATTTCCCTTTCTTTGTTTATACCCACGTTTTGTTCTAATTTATTAACGTTCTTTTTGTAGCACTTTTTTTGGCAAGAACATTTTTACCAGTGGTCAAGAGCATCCTAACCAAGAAAAAAAAACATTAAAAAAAAAAGTCCACATTGTCCCACTGATGGAAAACCCACATTTAAAAATTTGAAAAACTAGAAAAAAATAAACTAATATAAGGAGATTATAAGTATTCTACAATTGACATTGTGTTCTTAAGGAGTAATGTTGGTCCATTGGTCCCGGTATACTATAACAAATGTGGAGGATGATATAATGCTTTCTGATTTCCAAATAACAACTGACGCTCTGAAAAACCACATGTTAATTTTTCTTTGAATGTATTGAACAGAACCTCAATTACAATACTGCTGAGGTTCTTCTTCTGACAGACTTTAATTTCTGGCATCAGCCCAAATCTTTGTCATTTTCCAGAGTATTTGCACAAGGCCCGACAACTGCTGATATATTATTATTTAGAGGTGTTACCTATATAGCCGTATACTAATCACCTATGTATACCTATGCTAATAAGGAACAACTGGCCACATGCCTCCTATTTATGACCAAATGGGAATTATTATTGAGCACACCTGGGTCATTATTTCTTCTGTAATGGTGAAAATATGAGAAATAGACAAGAGTTGGACAAATCAAACTGGTATCTAAAGTTCTGTCTTTTTGTGTTTCATTGCTTATATGTGGAGAAGGGTTAAGTCTAAGTTTTTTTTCGTTGAACAAATAAAAACAAACAAACAACAAAATTAAAAACAATACGCGAATGTCATGAGGAAGATGGTCCCCTGATATTTGCTTATGCTAAGTCCTAGCTAGGGTTAGCTCAGGTGATAGACACCTCCAAACCTACGGCAACAATACACATCCTCCAAGTTTACGGAGACTGCAAGTCCAATCACATGCAGTCTCCAGAAAAATACAGACTTTCTCAAATCTGGAATAGTCCAAAATTCTCTGGGTTGAACTTCTGAAACATACTTAACAACCACGGGTATTCAGACACATGCACTTAATATTTTGTACATCCAAATTATCAAACCGTAAATGTAAAAATATCATGGAATAATAAAGAAAAATTTGTTTCACTCCTGCGACATTGTGCACATACTAATAATGTACATATTACATTACATTGTACATTAATGTACATATGGAAAACACAAGTGAAAGAATTTGGCATTTATAACGCAATCAACGACATAAAGTAAAGAAATGTAACGATGTACGTGCTCTGCTAAAAATGTGACAAATGTTATGTTATGATTAACCCATCAGCCTGCTTGGCACAGAGGTCTTGAGAGTTGCACTCTTTATTGTTTACGTCTAGGTGAATGCAGCCCGTTACAGTTTTTTTGTGGGAGATTATCCATGTCTGCTGTAAGGGGCACAGAGAGTGTTGTGTGCTGATCATATTGCGAAACCCCCAGAGCCAAAGTAGTAATTGGTGATATTGATATGTAAATACACATATTGTGAGGCACGAGCGTTGGCTCCTATGCAACCAACAACACCTTAATCTGGGTCCAAAAGAAAATAACTATATTATGATTAAATTACTAATAACCTGTTGGAAGAAATATGGTATATAAATAAATAAAATTAAGAATATTGAACGTTATTTTGTATGTAAAGCAGAAATCAGGAACAACGTTCCAGCTGGGAAAATGCTGTTATCAGCCTTTAAGGACAGAAATCATTTGGCACACAAGTGTTGCAGGATTATGACTCGGAGCAGCATCAGTGGCATTACAAATTCTATTTAATTAATGTGGACATTTCTCTGGTTAGTCCTGTGTAACGTTTGTGGCACCATAAATGTCCTTTTATCTACCCTTTAACGCTGTGATGCCTGTTCGCATAAGTAAAGAAATTGAAGAATTGAAAAGTGCGTAAACTATTACGAATAATAGTGACTAGCACTGAAGTGTGACGTTGTTGCCCTTTCTGCTTTTACAAACCAAATAATGGCAACACTTCCATCCAGTACATCTTTCATGAATTCAAAATTGCAATGTAATTCTTATCAGTATCTGTAAATATACTAAATGTGTCAATTAGGGCTGCACAATTAATTACAATTATACCAAAATTGCAGTTGGTCGTTCCCTCTAATATCGCAAATCATATCACAAATGCAATATCAGTCTAAATAATTGCAATTTGTTTTTTTCCATATCTTGCAACCAATATTCTGATAACGTCGTTTTTCTGTAACTAACGGAATACAATTAACTTTTTTTACATCGTTGTCGTATTCCTTTACTCCACAAGCCTGCATGCTCTACGCAGGTTCGCAAAAACACTGAGATGCATACTTCACAAGCATTAGTGTTTCTTTTAAAAACCTTAAATATACAAGAGGGATTTTAAATAATTAGTCATGATAACATCTGACCAAATGGCTCGGCACAATTAGCAGAGCAGCAGTGGTGTTCTGTGTAGTGAGTCAGCCTGCAGCAGGTGTGGGACCCTCTACGCAGCCCCAGGTTGGCTCCTACCTGGACTCTGCATGTTGATGTAGCACAGGATCTTGTCTCGTCCCCTCAGAGGCTCGCCCTCGGCCCTGCCTACCTCCTCTCGCTCCATGTTTGCCTCTAAACCTTCAGCCACCTGCGCGATGCTTCAGAGGTGAAAAAGCAGACCCCGATCTTTCTGTCCTGGATCTCATCATGTCCTGACTACAGCTGATCCTGCCTCTCAAAAAGCTGACGTCATCTCGGAGGAAACGGCTCCGGGATAGATTCTCTGTCTCGATCTTTGTGTGTTTTCACTCTGATTTAAAGACACACTTCTTTACTGCACTGATAACCCAAATCTGCAGGATTTCCTCTCTAACTGCGCTCTCTCTGTACCTGCACGCTGGTCTATCACATGTTAAGACTCCTCCACAGAAAACAGTGACATTTCTGTTTGGCATTGCTCTGAAATGCGCAGGTCTTTCGGTGTTTAAGGATTTAAAACGACGCAACTTTCTCTCTGTCCGTCTCCCTCTCAGAGCCCCAGTTCAAAAGCTCAGGAGAGCAGCTTGGAGATGTGTGACATCACTTTTGCCCCCAGCCAATCCTGCGATGGCAGTGATATCACCGAGGCAACACCCCCCTCCCCTCCCTCCTCTGCTGCATCTTTCACTGTGTGGATGGATGATGTCATCGTCTCAGCTACAGCTCTGTCTGACCGACTGACTCAGAAACGCACTCAGTGAATAGATCATTTAATGGATAACGGAATGAGAAAATCATCAATGACTGACCATATTAAATATAGAAATAGAACTAGGACCATTATTAATGATTGATTGATACTTATATGTATATAAGTCTATGCACACTCAGGCTAAAATACTCAAGTGCAATACAAACCACTTAAGATATACAAGATATTCCTCTGGTTTGAGAAACATCGCCTTGAAAAGACAAATAAACTATTTATTCAACATATTATGTACAGAACCCAAAACCCAATTTATTTAAAGAGGTCCTCTTTAAAAGGGTTTTCCCTTTCCTGTAGTGTGTTATATAGGTTATTGTTAAGAAACCGGCTGAGAAACCGGCTGGTCCGGACAACGTAGAACCTTTCTTTTTAAAGATAGCTACTTCTCTTTTTAACCTCTCCCTCAGCACAAACACAATTCTAAAAATATGGAAGTCAGCTTATGTCCTTCCTCTACTAAAAGGTGGGGAGGCCACTTTATTAAATAATTATAGGCCCATCTCTAAATTATCTGGCCAAGGTTCTTGAAAGCCTAGTGAGTGAGCAGGTAAAGGTGTTTTTAAGTAACTATGACCTACTATGTAAACATTGGTCAGGTTTCAGAAAGCAACATAGCACCATCACTGCCACAATGAAAGTGGTGAATGATGTTGCTAATATCTTAGATAATAAGCAGAGTTGTGCAGCTCTATTTATGGATTTTTCCAAAGCTTTCGACACATTACAAATGGTTTTAGGTCCACTTTTATTCTCCATCTATATCAACAGTTTAGGTCAAAATGTGGATGAAGCAACTTTACATTTTAATGCGGAC